CCCCCCCCCCCCCCCGTTGTCTGCCAGATGTTGATCTTTTAGAACACATGAGGACACTTTTTGCAGTTTTGCAACTGCACACTTGTGTTATAACCTACAATAACTGCCATCTTGTTGCATTTTAAAAATCAGGAGCATCAGGTGGGGTTTTGATCCATCCTTCTCTGTTTACTGGGCGAGTATGTGCTTCAGGCATATCTAGTATCACAGAAACTTGTGACATGTTATGTAGGTATGTTCTGTCAAGTCAGAACCCACTTATAGCAACACTAATATGGCTAATGAGATATTTAAGGAGTGTTTTTTCCAGTTAGAAACTTGGTATGTGGGTATGTTCTGTCAAGTCAGAACCGACTTATAGCAACCCTAATATGGCTAGTGAGATATTTAAGGAGTGTTTTTTCCAGTTCTCTTCACTCAGCGAGGTTCTGTGGCCAAGTGGGAATTCAAACCCCATTCTTCGGAGTCCTAGTCCATCACTCTATCCATGACACCACATTGGGAATGTAACATTGTGTAAAGTATGTGGGTATGTTCTGTCAAGTCAGAACCGACTTATAGCAACCCTAATATGGCTAGTGAGATATTTAAGGAGTGTTTTTTCCAGTTCTCTTCACTCAGCGAGGTTCTGTGGCCAAGTGGGAATTCAAACCCCATTCTTCGGAGTCCTAGTCCATCACTCTATCCATGACACCACATTGGGAATGTAACATTGTGTAAAAAGGCAAAGGTAAAGGTTTCCCTTGATATTAAGTCCAGTCGTGTCCGACTCTAGGAGGTGGTGCTCATCTCCATTTCCAACCCATACAGCTAGCATGTGTTGTCAATCCTCCGTGGTCATGTAGCCAGCATGACTAGACGCGGAACACCGTTACCTTCCCACCAAAGTGGTCTCTATTTATTGCCTCACATTTTTACATGCTTTTGAACTGCTTGGTTGGCAGGAGCTGGGACAGGTGACGGGGGCTCACTCCGTTGTGCGGATTCGTCTCTTCGACGGCTGGTCTTCTGACCTTGCAGCACAGAGGCTTCTGTGGTTTAACTTGCAGTGCCACCACATCCCAACATTGTGTAGCCCTCCACAAAAAAGAAAAGGGGGGAAAAAGGAGGCTTTTTTTTAAAAAAAAGGTTATCCTTGTCTTGTTCTTATATTAGAACCAGATGACTCTTCCAGGATGTGATGATCCCTCAGCCAGCTGTCATAGGCCCGTCTTGTCATGAGCAAGAAGCTTGGCATGTATTCTTTACCTCCCTGAGGGCAAGATGTTAAACTAAGCTAATTTAATTTACGTTAAAGTCCCCTCAAAGCCAATAAGCTAAACCAGTTGGTAACAGCAAAATTGACATTCCTTGACTTTGTATGACTCCACTTTCTAGGGCTTTGAGAATGCATCTGATGATCCGGTTTGAAACAAATCTTCTGCTTTTTGTTAGGTACAAAAATGAGTACAAGAGTAGCCAAAAAATGGCAAGGCTGACATTGCTTGGCACTCTGGAGCTGAATCTATTCCTGTCGCTCCTGTCATTTTTCATCATTTTGCAAGCCCTGCGAGGGAAAACAAACACCGTGACAGGACGCACCAAACACCTTCAGCCGAAAAACGATTCCCAGATTAATGCAAAGTGACTTGCAGCTTTAATTTGGTTATTCTCCACTGGTGCTCTCAGCGTGTGGAATCCTAATGAGTCACTGGGTTTGGCGCTCATCAATACAAACCCTGTTTTCTCTTGCATGACATCTGTTCCTCTCTGGGGTGCTTTAATTTCAGCTGCCTTGGCGTCAGGGTCTGATTCACTTTGAAAACCTCTGCGACTCCTCTCACGCCATATAGCTGCATTTTTTTTTTTGTGCATTGTATTTGTGTGGTGTCTGAAGCCACCATCAATTGTTATGAGGAAATTCAATTGAACTGGACACTTTACAACGGGCATGGAAAACTTTAGGGCCTGGGTTTTAGTTTATTATTTATTACTCTTTATATGGGTTCTATGGGTTTCCAGTGAGGCCGGGGGTGGATATTTGGCCCTCACTTTCACCGGAATCGCAATTTCAGAAGGTTGTTTTCATAGATTTTGGCATGGGAATTGTGTGGAAGAATCTATGCAAAGTTCAGCGTCACTTGAGTTGAGGTACAGTAACTTCCCCCTCTGTATTTAATGCACCATTCTCTTGGTAACAGAGTTGGAAAGGGGTAAGGTTGAAAAGTACAAAATAGCAGTGGAAGATTTGTAATGATTTTCAAACAATCTTGCATGAAGTTGGACTCTCCTTGAAAGAAGAGGTTAGAAAGAAGTGGTCTTGTGTGAAGCTCTACCCCTAGAGTAGAGATGGAAATCTTGTGTCATCCTTTGGTTGTCATTTGGAAGGAGGGAGTTGAACATTTTTCTCCTAACTGTAAAATGGCCAGATTTTTGAGGGGAGGACATTCTTTCAGAGATTGCCCATTTCTGAGCTTGAGTGTCTTTCTTTATGGGGGGAAGGGAGCCCACAACATTGGAAAATATGGTGATGTCATAATCATGGCAGCATTGGATGGGTTATTTACATGTTTTTGATAAATCATCCTTTTATCTTTGTTCATAGGCTCTGGTTATCTTTGTGTTGCCATAATTTGTGCAAAATATGAGAAATACACCCCTCCCCCCCCAAAAAAAAAGCTTGATGGTCTAATTCTTACACTGGAAGCCATGAGGGTTGGTGATGGCTCAACATATTGAGATGGTCTGTCTTGACAAGAAAGGAGGAATTAATGAGGTTTCTTCACTTCTGCACTGTAATGGGCCAGGTGTTCTCAACAACATGATACACATTTTACTAGCCGTTTCTGGATGGGGGATAATCTGGCAGTGGTAATTTATCCTTTGGTGAACTCTGCACTGGATTACTATAATGTAGTACAAGTGGTGCCATCCTGCAGAGTTAATAGGATTCATTGAACTGGGGAAGGTGCATAGTAAAAGCTTTGATTTCTGTGATGCAAGAACCCTCCCTGGGTTAAGGTTGAGGCCGGGAGATACTTAACTGTCTCAAAGACTGTACAGATGCTAAATTGATTCCGAAAACTCTTATAAGCAAGGGCGGCTTTCACAGTGGGATATCACTGGAGTAAACAGATGACACAGTTTGTTTCAGAATCAAGGTGCAAAGAAACCCCTACCAACCTCTTGTCATATTTTTGCACCCATTTAGTCTCAAAGTGAGAATCCCATTTTTTAAAACCGAAAGATAACATACTAGCTTATTGTAACACACATCAGAAAATGGAGCTTGTGTAATTGCAAAAAAGAATGATAAATACTAACCTATAAAATAAAATTTACAGCTCAAGCAAATTAGAATTTAACAGAATGGGAATTTAATAGAATATGATCTTCTGCATTGGGAGATCAGGGCTTATGTTGCAGATCCTAATCTGTAAGTAGGTTTCTAGGGGAAGAGGCAGTTTTTCACGCAAAGTTTTGGTCCCAAAACTATGTAGGGCTTTGTTGAGATTAATGAATGGCTTGGAAGTGTAATCAGAAGCAAACGGCAAGCCAGTACTATTAATGCAGGACCAATGAACTGTAGTCAATCAAATGCAAATCAAAGGGCAATCAGACAGCTGAATTTTGTAACGACCATAAAGGCACTTTGCAGGAACCTAAATAGGAGGGGATGATGACATCTGAGGGCAGATATCATTTGGGTAGACCCTGAGTAGACCCTTTAGTGCAGGTCTACTCAGCTCTTATTCCCATAATGCAGATTTCACTAAATGGCTCCGTGTTGAATTTCATTTGAGATCACACCCTTATGTTGGAGGTTTCTGTTGCCAGCCAAGTTGTTTTGCAAAGAAGCAAATAAATCCTTTCAGGAGGTTAAACTTGCCAGGGGGGAAAAAAAAAGTATCTCAGCTGGTCCAGGAACAAGTATAAATCCACTGACCCAATTTAAACCAAGTGGGGCTTTTGGCCCAAGGTGTTCTATTTCTAAATGATGGCAACAGCTTAAATACACATCTGGGCTCATCCTTTTCCCCCTCTCAATTCATTACGGTGCTTCAGGGATGCGTAGATATTAAAGACGAGCAAAATCAATTAATGCACAATCTAATCATATCTTAACAGCCACTAGAGGTTTGACTGCTTGCACAAGTTCTATCTAACTTTTTCCCCAACTTATACACTTTAAAAATTGTTAGAAATGTGTGTGTGTGTGTGTGTGTGTGTGTGTGTGTGTGTGTGTTTTCCCAGTGTTGTTACTGTATGGTGGACTACAGGGGTTACACATTCTGAGGTGGATGTCCAATGTTGAACAACTCTTAAGGTTGAATAGATCATTTCCCCCGCTCCACAATTACAGCAATTTCTGTTAAAATTCTTTCATCCAAACCTTATGAAATATTAACAGTGGAAAGGAAAGGGGAATCTAAAGTCACTTTGGCAGGTGGTTGAGGGGAGGGGATAAGCTTCAAAATGATCTCCAATTATTTTGGTACAAAGAGTCTGATCATCCACACGGACATGAGAGGACAATGACTTACCATGTTTCAAGTGGAAGGGAAAACAAGCCCCAAAGTATACAGAGATCACCCTAGAGCCTCCTGTTCTTAAAGCATGGCACATTTCGAATGTGTTTCTTGTCCTAATAGTTGCATTCAGGAGGAACTTTCTGTATTGTGTGTCACATCCATTTCTATTACAGGAACTCAACAAAATATGTCCTTTTTTATTCTTCTTGGAGAAGATTGAAAGGTTATTTCAATCATTTTGTCCTTTATCTGCCATCTTTCAAGAACATGGGCAGTGAAATGGTAATACAATACCTTACGACTTCATGCTCTACAAATGCATTACTTATGGCCAGGAGAAACACAGTTTCACTCCAGAATTACAGTTGCCCACCCCCTTTAGATGCAGTGAATAATTAATAGCACCTTAAATAAATTTGTTGTGGCAACAGTCGTCATTTGTTTGGTGGTAGTAACATTTATTGCCTTTTTTTTAATATTAATTTTGAGTTCCAAGCCACCGTGAAGGAAGGCAGCACGGGGGTGATCGTGAATTTAACTGTTGAAGATCGGGACGACCCAGCGACAGGAGCCTGGAGAGCGGTTTACACCATCATCAATGGGAACCCAGGACAAAGCTTTGAAATCCATACCAATCCTGAGAATAACGAAGGGATGTTGTCTGTTGTCAAGGTGAGGAGGGTGCAGATTGCCATCATGTCTCTCGAGCATCCACAGGGTGGACGTAGCATCTTGTGATGCCCCTTACTGCTCTTAGCAAGATCCTGGATTTTGAGTCCTTATGTGTTTAGTGCTCTTTCTTGCAGCACTGTGAGGCTTTCCAAATCGCTCATGAAACATGCAACAGGTTTCAAGATATCTTACTTCAGTGGTTCTCAACCTTGGATCTCCAGATGTTCCTGGACGTCAACTCCCAGAATTCCTTGCCAGCACAGCAAGTGGCGAAGGCTTCTGGGAGTTGCAGTCCGGGAATGTCTGGGGACCCAAGGTTGGGAACCACTGTCAAACTTGTCTGACATGTCTCCCTCCATGTTTCACATACAATTGCCAAACTGAATGGTAGCTAAACCTTTTTGTCCCCAACACTGGCAATGGAGCAGCTTCTTCTACCACATATGAGAGCAGAAAGCTGGTTTAGGGGGCACAGGAAAAGACGTTTGGCACACACGATGCTGTCTTGTATGAAAGGGAAATGCCTTGGGGAAGGTCATGGGAACATCAAAAGGACTTTCTGGTGTTGCCGTCTAGAGCCTACTGTCTAGGGCGGATGCCTCTCTCTGCTGGCCCTGCCCAGGTAGATCCTTCTGGGGCAAGTGTATGACTTTTGCAAGGCACATAAGCTTAAATGCTTCTGTGTATTGTTTCTTTGTTTCTGGCAATAGCACACACCTTCTTGAAGGTATCTAGGAGCGGTTGGGCTGAGGTTTAACAAGAGAAAGAGAAGGAACAGAATGGCAGAGACGAAGGGTGGGCCATAAGCCATTTTGCCTCACAGTCTGCAAGCTGCCTTCCTCCAGGTTAACATTAATTATGGGGAACCGTCTTCACTCTGGGCTTCCTTGACTTAGTGGATGAGCTACCATGAAGTAACCAGTATCAGTAATGGAGCTTCCTGTGCAGAAGGTGCCTGCACACGTAGCAAACGTCTAAACCCGTAGACATAAGTAATCCTGTGTGCTCATGTCTTCCAGCCTTTGGACTATGAGATTTCAGCTTTCCACACACTGCTAATCAAGGTAGAAAATGAAGACCCGCTGGTTCCAGATATCTCCTATGACACTAGTTCTACTGCAACGGTTCAGATCACTGTTCTGGATGTCAATGAAGGCCCTGTTTTCCACCCAAACCCAATGACTGTCACCAAACAAGAAAACATTCCTATTGGAAGTGTTGTGTTGACTGTCAATGCCACTGATCCAGATACCTTGCAACATCAGACTATAAGGTGAGTAGAATTCTCTTGAATCCCACTTTACTATGACAGCCACCAATGTTTTCTAATCTATCCCAAACATGTCTGGAATTGAAGCCGGTGAATCTTTCAAGAACATGTTGCTGTTATTGTTTTATTTTTCATTGATTTGACTAAGAATTTAATACAGAAGCATCCGAGATATCCAGATTTTGATTTTCAGTAAGTGCTTCAATAGATTTTTATTTCTGCCCTCCCCTGCTCAACACACACCTTTAAAAGCCATTCTGTATGCCTTCAGATACTGAGGTCTATAATGGAATCCTGTTATTGCTGTTACTTTCTGTAGTTAAGTCTTTCTCTTCACGTTGTGCAGCCTCCCAGTGGCTGTAGGTTTTGTCATTCTGTTGGAGGAATTCGCTTTCCAGACAGTGAACATTTTAAGGACGCTAACTGGTACTAACTTAGTATTCCACCTTCCATCTTAATGATTCTCATTGTCAGTATCTGTTAATGACCTCCAGTGCTTTGAAGGCATAAGAAGAGACATATTGAGAACTCACATACCTAGATCTGACCTTGAAAATTATAACACCGAAATAGTTCCAGGCAGGCCATTCAAATGGTCTCTCTCTGTAGTCACAAGTCCTGAATGCCATAAGACGAGAATTTCACAATGAAAAACATATAGCCAACTCTACATGACACTTTCTTTAAAGGGGCGTAATGATTAGAACCCAAAGAGTAAGTTTAGACTAGCTATTCTCAGTGTGGGCCCTGATACATTTGAAGGGGGCCACACACTGGAAACACACCATCTTCCCACACCACCTTATAAGGCTCTTTATGTGACTTACACAGTTCTAATTTGGCCTATATTTCTTATTGTATTTATGCCTATGGCCAAAAAAGTTTACTGTAGGCTGGTTTAGACTGTTCCAGTGCTGTAAGTCTTACAAGTGTAGTGTCTTCCTCATAAGCTGTTCAGGAGACTCCCCTTACATCTAAGAACGGAATAGTCTTCCAAAATTTGGTGTAGAATTAGGGAGTAGCGATACATGTTGTGGCCTAGAATTCTGTGCTGTCATGTCGGAAACTGACTTATAGTGAACTCTATAGAGCTTTCAAGGTAAGTGAGATATCTAAGGAGTGGCTTGATCAGTTCTGCTCCCCCAGTGAGCTTCTGTGGCTTAGCAGGGATTCAAAACCAAGTCTCCTGAGTCCTAGCCTGTCACTCTACCCACTACATCACACTCGGTATCCCAGTATTCCGTATACAGTGGCACCTCGCTTAACGATGATAATCCGTTCCAGGAAAATCGCCGTTAATCGAAAACATCATAAAGCAAAAATAAAAACCCCATTGAAACGCATTGAAACCCATTCATTGCGCTCCAATGGGGTAAAAACTCACCGTCCAGCAAAGATCCTCCATACGGCGGCCATTTTCACTGCCTGTATAGCAAGGAATCGGTCCCTAGAAAACAGTGGGGGGCCATTTTGAAAGCCAGCAACCATTTTGAAGCCGCCAATCAGCTGTTAAAAAACATCGTTTTGTAAAGAATCGGTTTCCCGAAGCAGGGAACCGATCATCACAAAACAAAATTCCCCCATTTAGACCATCATTTTTATTTAAGATTGTCTTAAAGCGGATTCGTCGTAATGCGAGGCACCACTGTACTCTGTATTATAAATGCTTCTGTAGGTACATGCCGACCTGGGTTCCACACATTGCAATGAACATGGAGGCTGGGTTTGAGGAGCTCTGTGCCTCCATTTCCCTTTCTTATTCTGCAGACTGCAAATTCGTACTTTCTTCTGTAGAGCAATATGAGGTGCGGAAAGTGTGTTAAGATGGGTAAAGACCCTTTTGTTTGTTAAGATGGATGACATTCATGGTTAATACGCGCACCCAGTAATATAATAACTGTTAGATGCCCCAGTTTTTCAGGGCTACTGGGAAAGGAACGTCCTTCAGCGGAAGGCATGACATTGAATAAATCACCTATTTGGAGAATGGATAGATTGGGGGAACGGACAACCTCAGATCACTCCTGTGAAACGATGCCTTTGGTAATATCAAAATAATATTCTGCATGTAGTCCACATCTCCAAGGAAGAATGTGGGCTATTAAATGCTGCCATGGTCTCATGTTTAAAGAATGGAGAATCAATTTTAATGCCATTTTGTGACATATGAAGGCAGCCTCTCCTTCCGAATCTCTAGTGGCCACAGCGGGGGTGAATATATCAGATTATTCTCATTTACCAGTGCTCCTGAACTCTCCTGTGGAGAGGGAAACTACATATTTTTCGCTCCAAATAGACTGAGGATTTGGAAATAGAGATGGCTGGGAAATGGAGTGACAACTTTGCTGTGGATACCATTGACACCAGGATCCCACTATACAGTCTAGATTGGCCTCAGGGTGAATGACATGTAATGGACTGAGAGGACATGGGGCACAGGGACACAAGCCTTGGGAGACAATGGCCTTTCCAAGTCTAGAGCCATAGACACCCACCCATTCTGCACTTGGAGTCCTTGCTTGTGTGGCCTTCACACCGATGGTCCCAGTGAGAGAGGTCCTTGAAAACAACATTGACTGGTAAGGGGGTTCAGCCTTTTGTTGAAACTTGACAAGAACTCTTGTAAGATGGAGGTCCATGGTGCTTTGTAGATGCTCCAGCAAAACAAAGCAGGAAGGAGTTTCTTCTACGTGACTCAAAATCTTTTCCCCTAATAACTTGCCTAATCATGTCTCTGTTAAACAAAAATGGTGCAAAGCTTAACCTTGAAGTAGAGCCGTTTATGGATTCTTGGACATTATGTGAAAGCAGTTCTCTCTTCGACATCATACTGCCTTGAACACACTGGGTCTCAATTAATTTCAGAAGCTAAGCATCATCAGGCCTGGTTAGTTCTTGGATGGGAGAACTCCAAAGAATACCAGCGAGTCCAGAAGTACTTAACTGTAAATAATGTACTTATATGGTTATGAGACTCTCTAGATAGGGCCAGGATTTGAAACCTTAGGCAGCTATTGTTAATGGGCAAAGTTGACAATGTGAAACTATACTGCTACTGCTGCTACCACCACCACCGCCACCGCTGCCGCCACCGCCACCACCACCATTACTACTACTACTACTACTACTACTACTACTACTACTACTACTACTACTACTACTACTACTACTACTACTACTACTACTACTACTACTACTACTACTACTACTACTACTAAATAATAATAATAATAATAATAATAATAATAATAATAATAATAATAATAAGATTCCTTCATGTCAATTCTGATTTATGACAACCCTTTTTCAGGTAGAAGGTACTCAAAAGTAGTTTAGAATTCCCTTCCTCTAGAGGGCGCTCTGGGATTCTGCAGCTTGCCCAAGGCTACACAGGCTGGCTCTACTTCGCAGGAGGCACAGGAGGGGAAATGAATCCCCCCCAACCCCTGACTTCACAGTCAGACATGTAAACTACTGAACTACCCAGCCAGCTTATGGCTTACTAAATATAGGGCCCCATTGATCTAGCTCAGCATAAAAGCAGATCCCTGTGTACTTTTTTTGGACAATGAGTCTCTGAATCCTTCTGTTTCCTATTTGTGAAGCAGCCCTTAGGCTCCTTCATCTTATAGGGGGCCAGAGTTAGTGCTTCCCACGGGACAATCTAGTTGCATTTCTCTTGCCAGTTTTTCCTTCTTGTCCTAACGGAACTTGGCCATATGGCCCAAGAAAGAGTATCATGAATGGAGAATGTGTGGATTTCCAGAGGTTGCTGGTGTGTGACTTCCAGAACTTCCATCTTTGGCTCTGCTACCTAGGAGGGTATCTGGAGGCTGAAATGTTTTCCACTACTGAGCCTATCCTTTAGCTTCTTAAGGGACCCCAGAATGAAATAAGGAGCTGTGTTGTCAAGATCAAGGGGGATCGTTTGAGTCCAAGATCCTCCATTTCTCCAAATCTGTTTTCAAAAGAAAGGTAGAGAAGTGTGTGACCTGCTCTGCTCAGGAAAATATATATATATATTTTTGCTGATCATTGCATTCATGGTGTATGAAAAGGAATGGCAATAATTTTGGTGGAATAGTTTGAGGGAAGCAGCGGTAGCAATAATGCAGATGAGAATCAAAGCGGATTTGAGTGTTCAAATTGTAATGTAAGGTGAGAAATACATAATTAGAGGGCTTGCATTCCTGCATCATTAAAACTCATACTTGAAAATAAGTATGAATATTTTATGTCCTGATGTCAGGAAAAACTGTAGATGGTGCTCTTAATAGGTGTAATTCCCACTTATTTAAAAAAATTTTTTTTTCAAAAATAATTTTTAAATCCCCATTTACACATACATTTCATTTCTGCTGTTTGGGTGAGTATCTGCCAACGGATGGACAAGTGTTGTGGGATTTCTATCAGACTACAGAATACTTGCCTCATACAGTGTGTAACCCAGTCATCAATCAACCCAATGGTTAATAAATTTGTGCCAGCAATTATGACATTTGATTTGCTAATCAGAAGTTGCCCTTGAAGCTTAAGTCTGGGCACCTGTGTGTGTGTGTGCGCGTGTGTAAAAATGAGAATTTAAAGCTCAAATTTAATAATACTTTTTTATCCTGGGAAATTAAAAGATGAGCCTTGTTCCTAGAAATCCATTATTAACAGTAGATCTTAATTAAACACATCTACTAGCTTCAATAACTTGCCTCACTGGTAAGATCCTTCAAGGTATACCTTTCCATCCCAAGCTCAACAAGTCCAGAGACTGTGGTAGTTCGACTTCGTACCAAGTATAAATAAGTTGTTTACTGCATTGTAGTGGTAATTTTTAATTAAAGCAATGCTCTCTGCTTTCATATTTTATTGTGGCAATATACTTTTATTACCTACTGTGCTTCTGGAGTTTTAATTATTTATGTAAATGTCTTACAGGAACTTTCCTTCTCAGGAATTTTTGTGACTGGATCTTTCAGTAGAGAAATCAGCTTTGATTATGTTTTTTTCAG